GCTGTTAGTTTGAATACCGCCATAGTAGGGACCACCCATGCCCCCTTTTTGGCTCCCTGTTCTATGCGGGCAAATGGATGTCTATGGATATTTAGTCAAGCCCGTAACCCGTCGAGTTCTTGGAGCAAGACTCTGCAAACACCATTTCGGACCCCCAGTTTAGAAGAAAAACAAACAATGGACCTAGATGGGTGCGGTGAGAGAGCTTTCCATGTCAGGATGGATTTCATGGTGTCTTTTTCCCGCACGAGAGGAATTAGTAGGTAGTGTGGCAAAACTGATGGTATTGGTTTAGCCACACTTCATTGTGCTTAACCACCCAGTTGCCCAGTGGTGACCTTTTCTCCTTTTGTTTGGAAAGGGTTCCCCTGAACTCAACCGACCCAACAAAAAGGGATGCCGATTCTTTTTCCCGTGAAAACGTGCTGGGCATCTGAGGCCACATTGTGCTTTCCATGTCATGATGATTTCACGGTGTTTTCTCCCGCACAAGTGTAGGTAGTGTGGTAAAACTGATGGTACTGGTTTAACCCACACTTGGTGTTTAACCGCAAAGTTGTGCTTTCCATGAGTCCCAGGTTGCATTTCCCACTGCACTTTGTGTTCTTTCCCAAAAAATGTGTTTTCCATGTCATGAGTAGCAGGCGTAGCAGGTTGCATGTCCCACTCACATCGGAGGACCGCTTTTTCGAGGGGGCGGTCTGCGCGGCCAGGAGCTGGGCGCTCGCGGCGAGGTGGCGGCCGCCAATGCCATGCGCGGCATCGCTTGGGCTGGGGGGCCTGCGGGCCTCGGGGGCGTGTCGCCCGACGGCTTCGAATGTTTTGAATGGGGCTACAAGTGGCTGCTGGACGTGTTGGCCTATATAAGTGAGTTTTATGTCATTTCCCTTTTGGCAACTTCTCATATTTATTTTGGGGGTTCATTTCATTTCCCTGTTTAGTTTTAGTTCTCCCCTTTCTCCACTTGTTTGGGACCTCCCAAAGTGACAGTTTCAAGGGAAACTGCCAAGGTTCACTGGACTTCCCCTACACAAGTTGCACTTTTGGAGGCTCAAAGAATGGAAAGTGTGGGATGCCTGAAATAATTGATGTCCACCATTTCGATTCTTGGTCTCCACTTGGAAGTGGACATGTTCTCCAAGGTAAATCCGGGCTTCTGAGACATGGACCCTTTGTTGGAACCTTCAAAAGTAAAAGTTTCAAGGGAAACCACCAGGGGTCACTGGAATTTCCCCTAAAACAAGTTGCTGTTTACCGGCGGGTTCCAACAAAATTGCCACTACATAAATTTGACCACACGCCCGCAAGAAACGATGTCCACCATTTCGGCCCCCCAGGTTTCAAATAAACTGCAGAAAAAAGGGTACCCTTGTTCTAACCTTTCTACTGGAGGACCTAGTATTGCTTTGTTTCCGGGCTTTCAGGAGCTGGCGGGCAAAACGTTTTCGGGGCCATCGGTCGGACCTACATAGGGCCGCTTGAAAAGTTATGCTATATGTTAGGGTGGACTAAAATGGCTGTGGTTCGAAACCAATGGTACATGTTGCGGTAGGTGCACCACCCTTTTTAGTCTTTTGTAGTGGGGATTGGGATGTTCACTGGGGGCACGGGCTTTTGACCCATGGCCAAATCCCAATCAAGGATGTTAGGGTGGACTAAAATCCCAAGCAAGTCTTGATTTCTTCTTATTTGTGCCCGATGCGGGCCAAGATATGTATCTGGGCAATTTATATTCGGCTGACATGGGGGTAAGACCAGCTCAAACCCATGAAGGTGCTTCACCAGGGGGGTGTTCTTGCTTCTGGTGGGTGAATTATAACAATTAGCCCAGATGCATGGTCCCCGGCGAAAGTGCAGGATTCTGTGTCTACTTGTCCAAGGCACCTTTGTTAAAGATTGCTGCTTGTGACGGACACGGTGCGTTTTAGAACTGAATGCGCAATATGTGTGTTCATGTTGCTTGGATGTTAGGACTTTAACTGTTTGCCAACTAATGGGTTTTCCAATTAAACCACTGAAAGTTAAATTTTTAGTAGGGCCAACTACTGGGTTTTTCAATCAAATCACTAAAAGTTAAACTTTTAGCAGGGCCAACTAATGGGTTTTCCAATTAAACCACTAAGAGTTAAATCTTTTAGCAGGGGAGCAGAAAGCAACCGAGTGTTTATGGGAACCCCACTCTCGGTGTCTAGGAGCAGAGACCGTTGCGCCGCCAAATGCGGCACTTGGCGTACTCAACAAGCAGAAACACATCACCTAGGTCCCCATCTAGGTGCCCTTCTCTCCCCTTTTTTGGGGCAGGGTTCCCCTTCTGCACTAGACTACAGAAAGAAAGTTGGTACCCTTGTTCTGACCTCTCAAATCTGGAGGACCTAGTCAAGTGCACAAACAAGCAGAAACACATCACCTTGACCCGACCCGCCCAGTGGCGGATTTGGGTACCTTTTGGGTCTTAGTATCCGACTGGTCCAGAGTCCCACACTAGGAGGCGCTCCGGTTCCTGACGTGTCCGCAGGGACATGAGCCCGCCCTGAGTCCGTTCAACCGTGGTAGGGAACAATGAGGGAACGATGTGTATGTGTTTTCTTTGAGGGTTGATGTTGGTTGGAATGAAACCAGACTCCCCTAGTTTGACACATACCCACGTGTGTGTATGTGGTTTCTGTGTTGGTTGGTACCCTCGTCTGCTTTCAACTCGGATGACCAGCTGGGCTGCTTAGATAAGGGACCTAACCGCACAGTATGCGAGTAACCCAACCCTACTTCAGGTTGTTGCTCAGTGGGGTTAATCAGTTACTAACTGGGCTCATCATCCAAGGGATCGCATATCCCATGACACAAATCTCAAATTATAACGTCACAAACCCTTGGGGCTTGCGGCCTGAAGGTTCCTTTCATATTCTGTCCAAATCCCGCGGTCCCCAAATGATGAAGTCATTTGCTGGCAACCAACGGCACAATGCAAGAGCATAGGCTTGCTTTTGGCCAAAAATCGATGGGTTCCACTGGTTTAGATGGGTTTTATGCCTCATATACCAGGCCCATCTATTTGTTCAAAAGGTCCACCCAATGTCGACCCCATATTAATCAACCCCAGTTTATTTTGTTCCCCTCGAAAAGTGACGCGTCCCCACTAAACCCAGGCAAAAGCACCCATCCTATCATCCTATCAATAGAGTGGGGTTGATGAATATGCTGTCAACACGATGACCTCTTCTTTACCTTAGTTCCGGGTCCCTGGGGCAAGCGAGCATAGGCTCGCGGAAAATGTTCAGTCTGATCTACATGGCAGGCCCAACTGCGCCATAAAAAGACCTGGATTCGGGCTCCAAGGTTGTGTGTTTTGTTGTGATACCCCCGGCACCTCCACCCCCCAAAAGAAACCATATGTTGTCCTTATGACTTTCCGAAATCGCAACAAGCGCCATGAAACAAGGACAGACCCACTTGGTTGCCAGAGTCAGGATTTGTGTTCAGTCCCCGTTGTTGCGACCTGGTGAAAATGGTGCGACCAACCTCGGGGTGTCGACCAAACCACGATCCTTGCCAAAAAGCCATCCTTTAAAGTTAAAGTTTTTTTCCTTGGGAAGCCAAAGGTAGAACATGTGCGAGGGATCCTCAATTCTAAGTTGCAAGTCCAAAGTCCAATACATTTTATCTGTAAACTTCCCAAGCCCCCCCCCTCAATTCTAAGTTGCTACTACATTTTACATGTCCCAAGCCCAGCCCAGGCGTGCGAGATTGGGAAGTGTCCTGTAGAGTTCAAGGTCAGGTGGCGGGAGGCCTGAGCGTATCTCGCCAAGGGGCGGGCCTGGATTTGTTGACGTGGTGATGACTGTGTTGTGAATGGACAAAAAACAACCAACAGCAAACAGTTGTTGTTGGAAAATGCTTGCTTTTCTTTTTTGTTCTCTTCTTTCTTTTGTTTTCTAGGAAAACGGGGTTCTCCTTGAGAAGGCTACAATCCCAGGCATTCAAACTGACCTTCGCCAGGGGAGGGAGCATCGCATTTTGTTCGGAATTCTGGCAGAGTGTGAAGAACAATACGGACACAAAAACATGAGGAAATTGTTGTTTGATCGGCATAGGCTTTCGTTCGCAGCTACACCTCCTGTTTTATAGGATTTCTAGCTGCAACATAGACTCGAAGTGGCTTGACCCCAGCACTTGCAAGTGTTATTCATTGTGTTTTGTTGTTTTTGAAAAGAGGATTCGGGTCATTTGCCCTCCCACCAATTGGCATTGACGTTCGGGGTGTCTTTAGAAGGAGATTGGTCGTCCAGGACCCCTGTGTCAAACATTTTCAGGGTAAGACTCCAGGTTGCTGAGGCTTGAGGCGACTCAAGTGGGTCGACTTGATTCCATTTGAGGGTAGCAAAGCGGGTAAAACATAGAGCAACCCATAGGGTCCCTTGCTACCTTCCAGGGAGGTTGTTAGAGCCCCTTTTTGCCCCCCCCAAAAGCCATCCTTAGGAGGTACTTGGATTTTGTGGGTAATGTGGATGGTTGCACAATCCATTTCGCACAACGAACTGACACCATGGTTGAAACCTCATGTTACGTTATTTTCTTTGGGGAGTCGAATCCGAAACCAGGGTTCCTTAGGAGGTGCGAGAGGCGGACTTCGCAACCATCCACAGTAAGATGAAATCTGGAGAATCTGCTTTTGGTGTTCTTTTGGTTCCATAGGCTAGGAAAAAGGTCACACAAAAAAGAGCTAGGACCTGGATGTAAGGTTTTCGGTGGGGTCAATTGCGGACCCGTAAAAATTCACTAGAAGAAGGTGACTTAGCTTTTCTGTGGTGCCTAGGTCCCCCAGTAGTGCCCTTTTACCCCTTCTGTTGGGGAGGGTGTCCCTACTAAAATAGACAAACCGAAAAAAGAATCGGGTACCCTAACCTCTAAGCTCTCAAATCTGGAGGACCTAGGTGCAGTTTTGGAGAGCTTTCTGCCTCCCGATCGCGCGGCTGGGGCCGCCAAACGGCAGCGCAGCTCGCCGCAGCCGTCGTCTCAACCATGGCTCGGATCCATTCCGATGGCTGCCTTACAAGAGTCCCAGATTTCCCGGGGCCAGGCGGGCGAGCCCGACGAAGTCGAAAGAACAGAGCAAGGGAATGCGTCTAGCAGGGCTCCGGAAAAATATATATATATCTCCATTTTGCAACCAGTTGAAACATGTTGCATTTTCAACACCAAAATAAAGGGAACCCACCATTTACAAGTTGCAATGTTCAGGTGTATTTCATGCATCCGGATCCCTGTTTAGATTCAGGGGAATTCTACGGGTCCCCCCCCATAAACTTTGAAGTTCCTATCCGGTTCAACTTAAATTTTGAGGGGCTGTTACTTAGGTCTTGGGAGGCCTTTAGTTGGTTTAGTGGTAATTGAAGCCGCCCTTTTTAGCATGGGATTTAAGGACAGCCCAGAAGAAGCATAGCACAAGGGAACACAACTCAGAAGATGACAATTCTGAACGGCAAGCCATGGGTGTACTTGATTTACTCAACCATTGTCTCTTTTGTAAAATGGCGGTAACTGAACTTCGGGGGGGGGGGGGAGTTTTACAAATAGCTCTATGCATTCCAGGCTGGTCGCCCGGAATATGGGTATGTGAATTGTGCCGACGCCCCCACTCCAAACACCCATGGTTTCAGGGTAGATGTTCAAGGACTATGCCTTCTATGGTCAATGCCTCCAATTTTGTAGCCAGGGGTTGATATTATATAATTATATATATACATCCAAAGAAAGGAATTTAGTGTAGGCAAAACTTGCTCAGATCAGACTCTCCAGAGGTCTGCAGGCTTATGGGTCGTTTGCATCATGAGACGAGCCTTTGCAAGTTTCCCCCTGAAACGCCTCGCGTAAGACCCATACCCACTGCTGCCTTTCAAGGATATGTCTCGAAGAATCAGCTTTTCTAGGGGTTGAGTCCGATTCCATTCTTTTCAACCATCGTTCTTTTCAAAAAAACGGATCCGTTTCCCCTGGGTTTTTGATGGTTTCCTGCAAAGAAGGATCCCTGCAAAGAATGGAGAATGTGCCTCTAGAGCTTTAGGTTTCCGTTGCAGTGGCTGACATGCCATGAGGTGGCTGACATGTTTTCACGTGCTTGCGAGTTGCTTACCTGCATGTGCAGCACCTGGTTTCCCGAGTATGCCTTGCACGCTGCCGGGTCTTGAACCCTTGTCAATTGCAGTTATTATATCATTCTCCTGCCAACCTGCAAGATGCGGAACTTTTTGATGGAACTTTTTGGTGGAACAATTGCAAGACGTGGAGCGTTTTGATGGCAGGGGGTGGCCATCAATCAATGTTCTTGGCTCTTGGATGTGTTTTTTTTTTTCGACAGGGGTTCATTTGTTTGGTCACATGAGTCAACATGGGTGTGTGTTTTGCTTGTCGTATGTGTGTGCGCAGTTTGGTTTGTGTGGTTTCCTTTTTTTTCCGGTGTGTGTGTGTGTGTGTGTTTGTTTGTTTGTTTGTTTTTGTGTGTGTGTTTTGGCGCGTGTGTGTTGTTTGTTTGTTTGTTTGTTTGCTTGCTTGCTTGCTTGCTTGCTTGCTCGCTCGCTCGCTCGCTCGCTTGCTTGTTTTTTGTTTTGTTTTGTTTTGTGTGTGGTTGTTTGTTTGTGTTTGGTTGCTTGTTGCTTGTTTGTTTATGTGTTTGTGTGATTGTTTTGTTTGTGTGTGTGTGTTTTTGGTTGTGTGTTTGTTTGTTGATTTGCTTGTTGGTGTGTTTGTTTTGTTTGTTTTGTTTGTGCGTGTTTGCTTGCTTGTTTGTTTGTTTGTTTGGTTGTTTGTTTGTTTGTTTGGTTGTTTACTTTGCTTGTGTCGTGTGTGTGTGTGCTGTCATGTGTTAGCTTGCTTTCGTTCGTGACTTCAATCATTGTAGCTTGTGCTAGTCTTGTCACGTGTTGCTTGTTTTTGCCTGCCATATATATATATATATTTATTTATTTTTAGGCGTGGTTTTGTGCATCAACATATTATATATATATACTTGTGTGTGGTTGTGTGTGCTTGTTTTTCTTTCTCTGGGGTTCACGCACAAAATGGTTGAGTTCACAACACCACCATAACGTATACCCATCAGGATTGTCATCCAAACTGCGCAGGTGGAACCCTAGCTCGGCCCAGCTAGGTGCCCTTTTAACCTTTCTTTGGGGGAGATTCGGTTCCCCTAAAATAGACCACAGAAAGAAACGTTGGTAATGTTGACCCCGGATTAGTAAACCCCTGGCTGATGAATATGGGGGTGGGGGCCCCTCCAAAAGTGGTCTAAATCCCCACTAAAACCGGGGAAAAGCACCCCCATATGAATAAACAGGGGTTTATGAATCCGGGGTCAGCATTCGGGAGCTTCGCTTTTTCCGGAGCTTGCGCACGGATCGCCTCTTTTTTCTGGTCAGGAGGCGGTGTTCCGGATCGGGCGCACGGCCACTTGGAGCCTGACGAAGACATCATGCCGACATCCCAGGCCGGCGAGCGATTTCCATGGCTGGTTGCTGGGAAACATGTTTTTTTTCATTTTGTCTTAGAGGTTGCTTAGAGGTTTCCCATTTTAGAGGCTGAAATCCAAATCCGCATTGTGGGCGGGAAATGTCCATTGTTGTTGGGTGTCTTAGAGGCTGTTGGTTTTCTTCATTTTTTTCATATTGTGGTTTCGAGGTTGCAACCCAAATCCACTCAACTGCTAAGATTTATTTTTTTGCTCCCCTTCCAACGTCGACCAAGTTTCACCCTTCTTTGTTTTTTGTTTGGGATGATGACCCATACTATCCTTAACAATATTTCCCTCGTTGGCTGTTATCAATTTCACAGATGGACATAGTTGCTTGTTTTTTCCAGGGGGGCGTAAGCAAATGGAGGACCAGGAAGGTTAAAGATGCTCAGTCAGGGTGCCCAAACGTAGGCAGACCCAAATTGAGAATTCTGGCCCTTACAAGCCCCACTTGTTGACAGATCTCAGTTGTTCAGTGGCACCAATTGTTTTTCCAATTTTTTTGGTGGCTGCCCCACTAAAAATGGTCTTCCCAAAAAAGGGTTCTTTTTTTCAAGGGTCACTGACCAACTGAGAGATGGTATGATGTCAACCCACCGAGTGAAAAAGAGGTACCAGGGGAAACCCGCCGGCTGTTCCCACCCATTCAGAGGCTTGAACCCATGGCCATTTTGGGGCCTCTTTGACAGGTTTCCCATGCTTGAGCAGTACGTTAGTGCTCAATTAAGGATTGAACTAGGGCTTGACACCAGGGCCCACGCATGGGTTTGATGGTTCTTCTTCCCAAAAATGGGCAACCACATGGGTTGGGGTGTCTCAAAGAAGCTTGTTGGCGACTTGCTGGTGCTCAGCAGGGGGTTGACCTAGGGTGTTGGGCATAGGAGCTGGTTTTTAGGGGAACTCATCTCCTGCCTAATGCGCCAAGGTGAAAACCATGCCCCACTCCAAGCGCCTCACGTTAACCGCCAAAACTGGCATGCGCCATGCGCAAGGAACTCGTCCTATATGTATGTTCTCAGCCCACAAAAAGTGGTCCGCTTCTTGCGCGAGCAATCGCCACCAAGTGCTGCAGGCGCAGATGCGCGTTCTGTGGTTGCCTCAAGGATTCAAGCGCGACCCCGCAGATTTGTTTTTCAGTACACTTTGGTTCTGTTTCTCTACAGTGGATTCACACAAGCCGCATCCAATCAATTAGACTAGGTTCATCAAACAAAGTGAGATCTTTAAAGCTATCCTCCAAGTGGGGGGTAGATCGGAAACAACCCCTTTCAGTAATGTTGCGAACCCCTCAATCTGCCATCGCATGCAGAGACCCGGTCTTCCTGTGCGCTTTGTTTGTTTTCAAGCCCAGAGGCTCCCGATTGATTTTGGGCCTTCAATCAACCTGGTTTTGAGACCCCAACGGTGTCTATTCGAGGGGTGGCGGGACTTCCATTGAAAGCCGAAGCCAGGAGCCTTTGGGAGGTAGGAATCTCCGCCTTTTTCAAAGCAAAAAGGCCAGACGGTCCCTTCCAGAGGAAAAGTCGTCCATGCCAGGACCTCCAGTTCCATTGCAATGTTGGTGGGTATATTAGCTAAGCTACTGTGGATGGACAAAATCCTGCACCACTTTGAAACCATGGGACACCATCCCAGGATGTACAAGGGGGTTGACAGCTGAAGTGGGGGATCACTGCGGATTCGTGGGATTTTGTTTTTCTTTTTACATCAACATCAACGCAAGCGGCAATTCTAAGCTCATGCTTAATTCGCGCTCGATTGTGCTGGGTGAGCACCCCAAAAGGTGGGTTTATGTGGGGAACAGCCCCCCAACCACCTTATTTCAGGCTGGTGAAATACTATTATAATTCACCCAGATTGTGGCGTTGGTTTTCGTTTTTCTTGTTTGCGAGCGCGAGGCTCACATGCGTCCTGGCCTGCCCCATGATCTTGATGACCGCGCTGCTGGCCATCACGGTGACTTTGGCGTGTCTTTACCGTCCCAGCCCATGGGTGTGTCGTTGTTTTGTGGTTTTAACCGGAACCCAAGAAGGACAATCATCATTTTTGGGGTCCAAAAATGATGGTTGTCCTTCTTGGTTTGCGGTTAACAACACAAAACAGATCGGTACCCTGAAAAAAACAGACACACCTGCTTCTCCTTTTCTTCGAACCTCTTTCAACTAAAATGCTCAGCGATAGGCGGGCGTTTCTCCCTCAATGCCCATGCTTCTGAGTTTTGCGCATGAGACACACCGAGTATCCTGCAGTTGCGGGAGTCTCAGAAACCCAAAGTCCAGCTTGCCTCAGTTGTTCAGTGGCACCCTTTTTCCCATTTTTTTAAGTGGCCGCCGGACTAAAAATGGTCTTCCCCAAAAAGGGTTCCCTTTTTCTGCAGGGTCACTGGGAAACTGAGTTGCCCTTCAGGTCTGTCATGCTCAAAATTGGGTCCTTGCCAGTTGTTTGGGGGATGAACCCTATATAGGGATTTGGTTGGACCCGCGACTTGACTTTCTGACAGAATTGCACCCTCGAAGAAGACACCCCCAAGCAAAGCCACACAAGAGGGGTACCCCCCGAGAGAAAAAAACAACTCCCCCAGTAGTGCCCTTTTACCATTTCTTTGGGGAGGGTTCCCCTACTAAAATAGACTACCGAAAAAAGTTGGTACCCTTATTCTAACCTCTCAAATCTGGAGGACGTAGGAACCACAAAATCGGGGGTGCCCTGGAAAAGGACACACCCAAACGAACACAAACGAGTCGTACTAGGACCCTTGAAAAGGCCATCCCCGAAGACGCAACAGGGGCCTCGTAGAAGACACCAATGAAGCCACACACCAAAGCCACACAAAGGATGCCCTCGGCAAACAAAAGCCAAAGAACCGGCCACAAAAGGGGGGCCCTCGAGCTGGCTCTCGTGGGAATGCCCCCTATAAACCATCAAATGTTTGTCCTTTATCCGGGAACCCGGGAACCCCCAAAACCGGTTCATTGCCACCACCCGGACTCGGTCATTCCCTACTGTGGATGGACGAAATCCTGCACCACCTAAGGAACCATGGAATGATGATTCCCCTGTAAATACCAACAAACAATGGTTCCAACCATGGTAAGTGGTGCGAAATGGATTTTGTCCATCCACAGCACCAATCGCACCAGCAAGACATTGACCGTTTCTTAGGTGACCTTCTTCTGGAAGCACTCCTTCGACGAGGGTCTGATGCGCCAGCAGACGGCAGATGAC